CTTATACGCTTCCATAATTCATCTTTTTTTCTTTTGACAGGATTTCTGTCCAGCCAAACATGCAACGGATGAAGATCTGATCCAGAGACTCCTCATTGTCCACTCAGAATGGCGTCCTCCCCTGGACTGAGCGCTGACCCTCTGCCCATGCTTCAGCTGCAGGAGACAGACGCAGTCAAAGAACCAGACAGACCTGCCTCCCCTGGACTCCTCCCCACCATGTACAGTCCTCCAGTGGGCTTAGACAGTCACACTGTCTGCATCCCCTCTCCTTATACGGACAGTAGTCATGACTACCATGGACACGGACCCTTGACTTTCTACAGTCCATCTGTCCTGGGCTATACCAGGGCACCTATAACAGACAGTCCGTCCTCCCTGTGCCCCCCACTTAGCCCCTCTACGTTTTGGCCTTCCTACAATCACAGCACACCTTCTCTTACTCTGCACTGCACCCAGCCGCTTGTCTACCATGAAACCAGCCCCCATGGCCCCTGGTTGGAGTCCAAACCCCACAGCCTGAACCCCAGCAGGTAGGAATAACGAGCCTCACATTTCGGAGACATTCAGTAATGACCAAGCCGGTAGTGGTTCATGTATTTGTACCTAAAGTCATTGTTTGGTAAAAGCTGTTTGTCCTGCATGCCAAATAAGTGCAGTGTCGCTTTAAACCTGAAGCAGAGGAGAACCGTAATGTGCAGAACTGAACTGCAGATTTCAGCAGGAAATAGAGGACTCCCAGAAAACTACACTTGATGTTAGAGAAACACAGTCATCACCTGTGTTCCACCTTCAGAGAAACAACAGGAAGCTACTTGCTTAGGATTCATTAAAGGGGCAACAGAAGCTGCAGTGTTCGTTAACAGGTTTAGTTGGTTTTCCATCTCATTAAGATTAGTGTGGCTTTTTGGATTAGTGTAGTTTGCCAAAACAATGTCGGATTCCGTAATTTTCTCTGGTCCCCTCCCTGATCTGACCAGTGATGACATGTTTAACCACATGTCGTCATTCAACTGGTGGTTGTCTAGGTGGTGTCCTGAAAACAAGGTGGGCTACATTGATAATTGGCAATCCTTTTGGGGAAAGCCTGGTCTGATTCAGAGAGATTCATCCCACTTTGGATGGTGCAGCTCTTCTTTCTAGGATTCTGGCCAAATGTATTAGTCCTCCAAAATCCTGACCCCCCAGGGTGCAAACCAGGAAGCAGAGTCGTAGTTTAATGTGGCGCTCACACCAAACCTGAAACATGCAAAATTTGTGAAAGTCCTTTTGACTGCCAGACATTCTTCTAGCCAGCGAAAACAATTTGCACATCAGGCAAAAAATCTCCAACCATGTCAGGCAGCCTGTTTGGTGTCAGTTTAAGCTCAACATGACAGAGAGACATTTCCAGAGGGACTTGCACGGTGGTATTTCCTTTGGAGGGCAAACTGAATGAAGCCGCTAGTTTCTCTGGGTCAACCAGATTCTCGAGATGCTCCCAGTTTTTGGGTAGTTTGGTATGACGGCATTCTGAAGCTCAGAAAGCAGAAGGGTATTCAGACGGTGGTAGATCAGAAATAAAAGTTTTTGATCGGAGAGGCCTACCAGGCAGATAGAGTGAAGGAGAGGGAGCAGCTGATGGAAGCTAGCTCTGGAGTCTAACAGAGAAAGGGACAGGTGACGACTAGCCTGTGCCTGTGCTGGAGATAAGGGAGGAAGATGAACAATACTTCTAGATCTTTTTATTTGAACCCCTTAGGAGCATTCCTCCATCCTTTGACCTTTTTCCCCGTTTGACACACAAGCTTTATCTCCATTGTTCTCCATCACTGTACCTCACAGCAACATCTAGTCCCAGTTTCAGATTTTTCTGCGAGTTTTGCCCTGCGTACTTTGCAGGTGCGACTGCACTCTTGTTTTGCTGTTTTCACCAAAGGTGTACCTGTCGTCACACTAGTATCATGACCCTGGCCTCGCTCCCCAAAGCTACAGTAGGGATAACTTGGTAATCATTTGCTTTGGTTGTGATGCACCTGACTCTCCGACTGGGGAAAACTGAATATCTTTTAAAAAATTCCAAAGGAGTAAATCCTAAATAATCAAAGTGAGCACGACTCCAACTGAGAAAAAAAGTAAAACAATAACTTTAGTTCAGTGATCTTAATATCACTCTCGTCAGATTTTTTTTGTTAATGACTTAATTTTTGATAATCAAATGAATTTATGTTGCCTTACATGTAAATATATATTAATATCCTGTATAGCAATTCTGGATAGATGCAAACTACATTTCATTGCTCTGTACTTCTGATGATGTAATGAGAATAAAGTTGAAATCCAATCTATTCTATTCTCTTCATTGGCTTCCTGTTAAATCCAGAATAGAATTAAAAATCCTCCTTCTCACATATAAAGCCTTAAATGGCCAAGCTCCATTTGATATCAGAGATCTGATTGTTCCTTATGTTCCTAACAGAGCACTTCGCTCCCAATCTGCAGGTTTATTAGTGGTTCCTAGAATTTCTAAAAGTACAGGCTTGTAAATTCACTTAAAGTATAAAAGTAAAAGT